TAATAACTTCATTCAAATTTAGCTTTTTTCTAATAATTTCCTATTTGAATATATAACGTATAATACTCTTCCAGCAGTACACCCAAAATATAACATGAAACCTAGATTATGTCTGAAATGTAAGATATAGTTAAAAATAATGTAACTTTTATGACTGTTTCTCATGACATTTGAGTTTTTCTGAAGTTTCATGAAAGATTAAGCACAATGAAAAAATGATTGCAACATTTCCTTAAATGGTTCTCGATCCCTCATATATTACATAGAATTTACCGTGGTGACTTGTAAAATATATATATAAAAAAGAAATAATGTATAGAATGAACATTTTTTTCAAAATAGTAAAATAGCTAATTAATGCTATTTTTTAAACTCTGAATTTTACCGAGTTTCCTAAAGAAAACAATTGCTTTTATTAAAGGACTCTCAACAAAGAATACGTGATCAACTTCCATCTTGGATAGATCAGGAACGAAGCTGGGCCGTGGCAACATTAAAGGTATTGCTTTTCTACTATGAGACATATTTTACTTTCTTCTATATTTTCATTGTTTCTGTTGATACTTTTTGCTCCTGATTCATAGTCAGTGTTAATACTTTTAATAGGACCTAAATTCCCCCAGTGAAAAGTTACCAAATAATTATTGTGATTAGTTCTTTAATCAGTAATTATTAAACCTTTCATTATGAGAGAGCATGCCTTCCAAATACAGTATTTTCTTTCTCTCTCTCCACACCCCTGCCACAAAGTAAGTTAGGCTATGAGGATAGTGACATGGGGGAAGAAAAAGCATTTTAGAAGCCTAACTCTCAACAGTTCTGTGTTCTTCAACTACTTAGGCTAAAATGTTCTTTTTGTGGGAATGAAAGACAAATACACTTTTCTCCAAATCTATGCATATATGTTTCCATCTTTCCTTTCCTTCCCCTGCTTTTCTTCACAATTGTTTTGGCATTATAATAGCACATGATAAAAACAGTAAGAATAACTAGCATTTACCAATGGCTTACTATGTTCAAGGCATTATACAGAATTTTAAAAGAGATTATCTCACTAAATATTTTCAATAACATTATGGGGTAGCTATTGTAATTGTCCTTATGTCACAGATGAGGAAATTAAGGCACTGAGAGATATAGTAACTTGGTGGTCAGTTAGGAAGCACAGCCAGGATTTAAAACTGGGTTTCTTGCTGCATAGTCTGGGTTCTTCACCACACTGTTTACTGACTTCATTTCATAAATATTTGTTGAGTAAACGAAATTAAAAAAAAAAAAGGGGGGGATTCTGCTTTATAGCCTCCATTTTTTTTCATTAATCATTTGTTTGGTGCGTGCTACCCTTTGGCATAATGCTAGTGACAGTCTTTACTTGATAACTTTAGTCAGGCTCTTGAACCTTCTTCTAGGCCCATCTGTGCACTGCCATATAAAATCTAGTTTTAACAAGAACCCTGCAAAGCTGGTTTAGTGAGAATTTCTTCATCTTCCATATCTGATTACTCTTGATATCCAATCAGATTCCTCATTCCCTACCATTCACAAGGTGATTCTGATGACTTTGGCCTATCTTCATTAAGAATCCTATTAGGTTGGTTTAGCCAGAAATCTTTGTACCCCTGATATTTCCTCTTAGTAATTTTTCATCCACTGACCTCACTTTGCTCCTTGGTGTATTTGCTTGCCCATGCTGTATTTCCACTTGCCCATGCTGTATTCAAAATTGAGCCCTGCTCTATACTGGAGTCTCTTTTCCTCTGTTGCTTCTGCTGTTGTAATAGCCCTGAAAAAAAAAAATCTGTTTTTATTGCTCTAACTACTGATAAGCTCTGTTTTTTTGTTTATACAAGTAAAATGACAGATGTCTATATTTTAATATTTAAGAGACTCTGCCATGAACAAACTTACACTGTAGAGAGCATATCAAATAATTACCTTGTCATAATGGTTGGCAGTATACAAGGTACCCAAATACATGATGATTATATAATGTATAGCACACCTAAATTAGTAATGATGGGACTTTGTATACTAAAGGTCACTAAAGTTAACAGACCACCATCAAGAGTTATTTTAATAGGCTGAGATCATTTATTAAAAAGTAATTAAATTGAAATATAATTAATTTTCTGCTGTTTAATTTTAGTTAAGTTATATAGTGAAATTTGGGCAGTATAATGTATCATTTTATGTGAATATAGATGTTTAGATAAAGCATTTTTATATACTTGATTTATGTTTATATTATATGAAGTTCTACACTGAAGATATAGATCTTCTAAATTTCTCATTTGTTTTCAGTGAAATTTCTTTGTCTTTAGAGATTTACATTTCTGATCTTACAGACCACTCTTGAAAATTTGGAAAAAGAAAACACAGTTTGAGGTAGAGGGAATTAAAATGTTTGCGAAAACCTCTGAAAGATGATATTGTTTAAAGTGAATATTGAACATGGAATAGAAATTTATGAGGTAGCAAAGAGGGGTTAGAACATTTAGAAACAACAGAAGCAACATGTCTACAAATAGAGGCATAAACAAATATGGTTTAGAAAAACTTTCTTTGTTACTAAATTTCATATCTTTTTTTTTCCCCCATTTATTTATTTTATTGCATTTTAGGTTTTGGGGTACATGTGAAGAACATGCAAAATTGTTGCATAGGTACACACGTGGCAGTGTGATTTGCTGCCTTCCTCCCCATCACCTACATCTCTCAAGGGCATTTCTCCCCTTGCTATCTCTCCCCAGCTCCCCACTCCCCACCGCCCCTCCCCTATTTCCCCCAACTGACCCCAGTGTGTAGTGCTCCCCTCCCTGTGTCCATGTGTTCTCAATGTTCAACACCTGCCTATGAGTGAGAACATGCGGTGTTTGATCTTCTGCTCTTCTGTCAATTTGCTGAGAATGATGGTTTCCAGGTTCATCCATGTCCCTACAAAGGACCCAAACTCATCGTTTTTGATGGCTGCATAATATTCCATGGTGTATATGTGCCACATTTTTCCTATCCAGTCTATCGTTGATGGGCATTTGGGTTGGCTCCAGGTCTTTGCTATTGTAAACAGTGCTGCAATGAACATTCGTGTGCACGTGTCCTTATAGTAGAACGATTTGTAATCCTTTGGATATATACCCAGTAATGGGATTGCTGGGTCAAATGGAATTTCTATTTCTAGGTCCTTGAGGAATCGCCACACTGTCTTCCACAATGGCTGAACTAATTGACACTCCCACCAACAGCGTAAAAGTGTTCCTATTTCTCCACATCCTCTCCAGCATCTGTTGTCTCCAGATTTTTTAATGATGGCCATTCTAACTGGCATGAGATGGTATCTCAATGTTGTTTTGATTTGCATTTCTCTGATGACCAGTGATGATGAGCATTTTTTCATATGTTTGTTGGCCTCATGTATGTCTTCTTTTGTAAAGTGTCTGTTCATATCCTTTGCCCACTTTTGAATGGGCTTGTTAGTTTTTTCTTGTAAATCTGTTTTAGTTCTTTGTAAATTCTGGATATCAGCCCTTTGTCAGATGGGTAAACTGCAAAAATTTTTTCCCATTCTGTTGGTTGCTGATTCACTCTAATAACTGTTTCTTTTGCTGTGCAGAAGCTGTGGAGTTTGATTAGGTCCCATTTGTCTATTTTGGCTTTTGTTGTCAATGCTTTTGGTGTTTTGGTCATGAAGTCCTTGCCTATACCTATGTCCTGAATGGTTTTGCCTAGATTTTCTTCTAGGGTTTTTATGGTGTTAGATCTTATGTTTAAGTCTTTAATCCATCTGGAGTTAATTTTAGTGTAAGGTGTCAGGAAGGGGTCCAGTTTCTGCTTTCTGCACATGGCTAGCCAGCTTTCCCAACACCATTTATTGAACAGGGAATCCTTTCCCCATTGCTTGGTTTTGTCTGGTTTGTCAAAGATCAGATGGTTGTAGATATGTTGTGTTGCCTCCGAGACCTCTGTTCTGTTCCATTGGTCTATATCTCTGTTTTGGTACCAGTACCATGCTGTTTTGATTACTGTAGCCTTGTAGTATAGTTTGAAGTCCGGTGGTGTGATGCCTCCCGCTTTGTTCTTTTTGCTTAGAATTGACTTGGCTATGCGGGCTGTCTTTTGGTTCTATATGCAGTTTAAGGTGATTTTTTCCAGTTCTGTGAAGAAGGTCATTGGTAGCTTGTTGGGGATAGCATTGAATCTGTAAATTACTTTGGGCAGTATGGCCATTTTCATGATATTGATTCTTCCGAACCATGAATATGGAATGTTTCTCCATCTGTTTGTGCCCTCTCTTATTTCGTTGAGCAGGGGCTTGTAGTTTTCCTTGAAGAGGTCCTTTACGTTCCTTATTAGTTGTATTCCTAGGTATGTTATTCTCTTTGTGGCAATTGTGAATGGAAGTTTGTTCTTGATGTGGCTCTCTTTAAGTCTGTTATTGGTGTATAGGAATGCATGTGATTTTTGCACATTGATTTCGTATCCTGAGACTTTGCTGAACTTGCTTATCAATTTCAGGAGATTTGGGGCTGAGACGATCGGGTCTTCTAGATATACAATCATGTCGTCTGCAAATGGAGACAATTTGACTTCCTCCTAAATTTTATATCATTTTAGAAAAACAGAGCTCTATAGAAATTAAAGCTGTGAAGATAAGTTTTATTCAAACGAACTATTGTCATAGGTGAAAAGAGACTTCTGTATAGTACTGGGTTCAATTCTGACTATAAAATGGACAAGTGAGAATTTGTACCCAAGAAGTAGGGTAAGGATTAGTGGTGAGGGTCAGTGAGCAGATACTAACAGATAACAAGGGTGGGAGAGAAGGAATTTTTCTTTTTTTGAGATGGAGTCTTGCTCTGTCGCTCAGGCTGTAGTGCAGTGGCGCCATCTCGGCTCACTGCAATCCCCGCCTCCTGGATTCAAGTGATTCTCCTGCCTCAGCCTCTCGAGAAGCTGGGATTACAGGCTCCCACCACCATGCCCGGCTAATTTTTTTTGTTTTAGTAGAGACAGGGTTTCACTATCTTGTCTAGGCTGGTCTCAGACTTCTGACCTAAGGTGTTCCACCTGTTTCGGCCTCCTTAAATGATGGCATTAAAGGCGTGAGCCACCAGGCCCAGTTGAGAGGAGGAATTTGATTGGATATTAAAGGTAGGGATTCTTGCTAAAGTTACTTAAGAAAATTCTTGTTAAAATGGGATACTACAAGGCAGGACAGAAAGCCCTGATTGAGGCCTAGTCAAAGAGAGTTCAGGGGAGCCTGACCAAAGTTTTGACAAAGAGAGTCTTTGTTAGTATTAATATGAAATTTGACATATTAACATGACAATCCTTAAAATTTACACTTGATGCTAATGACAGCATTTGTTTTCTCCACAAGGTGGCGATAGCTAGGTACAAATGTTTTTTTATAGAGAAAAGATTTAACTTATGAATACTGATTTGGTACTACTTTGGAAATGTATTTTAGTTCTGGCTTTAACATTAGATGAGTCTACTATAGTGTTGCTGACCTAGAAATAATTAGACAAGCCAACACAATGTAGAAAACGAGTAATAAACACCAACTAATAATTGGTTCTCACTTTTAGTTTTTTTAAAAAATAAATATATGGGCTTGTATTTCCTTATAGCTCACTATATATGGCCATTTTTATTTTTTAGATTGCTCTCCCCAGTCTTTATCAGATCCTCTGCCTTGAAGATGCAGCTCTATGGCGTACTTATTATCATAATTCAACGTGTGAGCAAGAGTTTCCATCTATTCTTGCAAAGAAAGTTTCCTTATTTCAGCAGGTAAAATTCAGTGTTATTTAAATGCAAAAAAGTGTTTAATGTTTCTCTTATTATTCAGAAGCCATTTAAAGAAAGCTTTGCTTTTAGTGTTACTTTACCTTTAATGACATATTTGGGGAAGGGCTTGCTGCTTTTGCCAACTTATTGACAATTAAATCACACCAAAGTTTCTGGGTAGAGTTTCTTTCACTGTGGCTTTTCTTATTCCCTCTGCCTCAGACCCCAGGGGTATCTTGTAATTGGAAAAATGTATTTCAGAAAGAAACTAAGGTACAAATTGTACAGGTTTCACAATCATTTCCCAGAGTTCTTTTTAAGGAAAAGAGTTCTTTTTAAGGAATAGTGAGTAACAGGGGATTTTTCACATTCTATTTTAAAACAGAATGATGAAACGTACTGGCAAATTCTGCTCAAATTTTTTTGCTAGTCAAAAGGCTTAGAGAGTGGGCGAGCTCTTCAGAAGTTTAAGCTCCAGGAAATGACCTTTCCATTAATCTCTTCTCTGGATCTAACACCTTTGTGTCTCCATATACAGTGAATTCTATTTCCCCAAGAGTGTTTAAACAAAAAGGAAAATGACTAAGAAAAAATAAAACTTAAACATTTAGGACTATCATAGATATACATGATTCAGTAATCCCAGCTACTTGGGAGGCTGAGGTGGAAGGATCACGTGAGCTCAGGATTCAAGGCAGCAGTGAGATGTGATTGCACCACTGCACTCCAGTGTGGGTGACGGGGCAAGATGCTATTTCTATTTTTTTTTTTTTAAGATAAAAATTTTGAAAATTTTAGGGAGGATTTCTTGGCCTCTGTTTGCTGTCACCAGAAATGTCTCACCCATACCATGATTTTCACCTGCCAGTTACCCTTTTATTAGAGTCAGAAGACATTGCTAGCCCTATGTTTACTTTTGATGATAGGCTTGAGGAAGTAAATGGATTTCAATAATATTTTTGATATATACTTGCTATATACCTATTGTGACAGTTTAAAGCACAGTAATACAGAACAATGGTAAGTGTTCCCATATTTAGTAAACATTTATTTAATTAGTTAACATTAATTATTGTTTAATTAAAGGTTTTGCAGGAATTTTCTTCTTTTAAAATATTCTCTGCATTTTATTTTAAGATTCTTGTAGTACAGGCGCTAAGACCGGACAGATTGCAAAGTGCCATGGCTCTTTTTGCCTGTAAAACTCTGGGTAAGTATGATGCTCTTCAAGAACTAGACCACTAACCTGAATTATTTGTTTTTAATTTACATTTAATTTTATGTTAATCTTAGTTTAGACATGTTATAATGTCTTTTTGATTCATTCTGTTCATTTATCTTCCAATCTCTACTTGTTTGAGGAAAATAATTCTCACCTGGGCACAGTAGCGCATCCTGTAACCACCGACAGGTTCACCTGGCCTGCTGCCTAGACAGAGCTGATTTAGTAAGACAGGAGAATTGCAATGGAGAAAGAGCAATTCACACAGAGCTGGCTGTGCAGAAGAATGGAGTTTTATTTTTACTCAAATTAGTCTCCTTGAGCATTGGGGGTTGGAGTTTTTAAAGATAATATGGTGGCTTGGGAAGTGGAGAGTGCTGATTGATCAGGTTGGAGATGGAATCATAGAGGGTTTCAGGTGAGGTTTTCTTGTTGTTTTCTGTTCCTAGGTGGGATCACAGAAAATGGTTTGGTTTTACAATAGTGATGTTACCCTCAGGAGCCATTTGGAGAGACGTTCAGACTTTTGCAGCCAGAGGCTGCATTACCCTTAAACCATAATTTCAGATTTTGTAGCTAATTTGTTAGTCTGCAAAGGCAGATTGGTCCCCAGGCAAGAAAGGGGTCTTTTTTAAAAGGGCTATTATGAATTTTGTTTTAGATTCAAACAGAAACCACCTTTGCAAAAATTAAAACAGGAAATTATGACAGTGAAAGAGATCAGATCAAACTGACTCCATCTTGTTTCTAACCTTTAAGCTATCCTTGTTCATTCCTGGGCATAAGCAGAACTAACCTTGGGAAGGAATTTAGTTTATGGTTTGACTCTGAAACAAGATTGATTAATAGCATTTTCCAAAAAGAACCCCCTTTCTTGCCCGGGGATCAGTCTGCCTTTGTAGGACTAATATATTCCCTATTAGATTAGAAATTATGGTTTAAGAGCTGGGCGCAGAGGCTCACACCTCTAATTCCAGCACTTTGGGAGGACAAGATGGGTGAATCACTTGAGGTCAGGAATTCAAGACCAACCTGCCCTATGTGGTGAAACCCCGTCTTTACCCCCCACCCCCGAAAAAAGAAAAATTAGCGGGGCATGGTGGCGGGTGCTTATAATCCCAGCTACTTGGTAGGCTGAGGCAGAAGAATCACTGGAACCCTGGAGGGGGAGGTTGCAGTGAGCAGATCACGCCACTGCACTCCATCCTGGCGACAAAGCGAGCCTCAATCTAATTTAAAAGAAAAAAAAGAAAGAAATTATGGTTTAGGGGTTATGCAGCCTCTGGTTGCAAGAGTCTGAACCTCTCCAAATGGCTCTTGGGCATAACATCACTATTGTAAAACCTAAGTTCAGTGCTTGAGATATTTTGCAGACCCTGTACTAGATGGATCAGCTGAAACAATGTAGTCTGGTAATCTGGCTCAGTCACCTCTGCAGTCCCACCCAGGAACAGAAGACAGCAAGAAAACCTCACTTCAACCCCATTATGATTCCATCTCCAACCTGACCAATCAGCACTCCTCAATTCCTAAGCACATACCTGCCAAATCCTCTTTAAAAACTCCAATTCTGAATGCTCAGGGAGACGATTTGAGTAATAATAAAACTCCAGTCTACTGCACAACCAGCTCTGTCTAAGTAAATCAGCTCTGTCTAGGCAACGGGCATAGTGAACCCACTGGGCACTTACAAAACCATAAACTAAATTCCTTCCCAAGGTTAGTTCAGCTTACATGCAGGAATGAACAAGAGTAGCTTAAAGGTTAGAAGCAAGATGGGATCAGTTAGGTCTGAGCTCTTTCACTGTCATAATGTCCTGTTTTAATTTTTGCAAAGGTGATTTCAATACCTGTAATCCCAACATTTTGGGAGGCTGAGAGGGAAGGATTGCTTGAGCCCAGGAGTTTGAGACCATCCTGGGCAGCACAGTGAGACGTTGTTTTTCGTAAATATTAAAAAATGAGCCAGGCATGGGGGCATGTGCCTGTAGTTCCAGCTACTCAGGAGACTCAAGTGGGAGGGTTTCTTGAACTCAGGAGTTCAAAATTGCGGAGAGCTGTGATTCTGCCACTGCACCCCAGGGTGGGCAGCAGACCAAGACCTTGTCTTAAAAAAAGAAAAATGATTCTTTTTGTTGGAGATCACCATATATGATGTTGAATTAAATTTGACACCCTATATTTAGTAAAGGAATGGAGTGTTCCTCAATCCAATATTACTGGTGTCCTTACAAGAAGACATCCATGTAAAGACAGACACAAGGAAAATATAATGTGATTATGAAGGCACAGATTCAAGTTGTGCAACTGCAAGCCGAGGAACACCGAAGATTTCTAGGCAACCACGAGAACCTAGGAAGAGACATGGATGTGTTCTCGTAGCAACACCAGTCATACTGGATTCAGGCACACTGTTGTCCAGTATGACCTCATTTGAAGTTAACTAATTCTATTTGCAATGACCCTATTTCCAAAAAGGTGAACATTTTGAGGTTTCAGGGGTTAGACTTTAACATATCTTTTTTGTGGGGTACACAATTTAACCCGTAATACCTACCAACCAAGCTTTTCACATAATGCCTGTCTTCTGCCTTACCCATGCACACACAAATATTTTGAGTCACTTTTTAGACTGCTCACCTGGTTGGTTAATGATGAGTATATGCAAATAAGTCTAGATATGCTCTGTACTTTTGTTTACTTATGCAGGGGGAGGAAATGTCACTGTTTATTCAACTTTGGTAGAATGTTTATCTACCAGATAATTTTTACTCATGTCTGGCAGAGTAATTATCCACCTTTCTCTTGGTTGCAAGTGACAGATACCCATATTAAACTCAATTAAATGAATAAAGGGAATTTATTAGCTTAAGTATTCAGTACTTAGGAAAGAAGAGGTAGGGCTGGTCTTCAGGTTAACTGGAGTTAGACAACATCGTGACTCAGACAGTATCAGGAAACTCTGTCTTTGTCTCAGCCTTGCAGTTTGTCTCTGTGTTTCTCCTCCAGCCCCATCTCTCTGTTTCTCCCTTTTTCTGTGTGTTTTTATCTCTCTCCACCTCTCT